ACGGGGCAGCCACGTATGGCAGCTGCTGTGCCCTCCTTTCAGGACCTGGCCCCGCATCCTGAACCCCTCACCTGTAACCCTGGGGCCAGGCTGGGGGCAATTCTCCAGCACCGAGCGTCCCCGAGGACCGCGGTGCCTGCGGCGTGCGCCGGTGTCACGTCCCGCTCAGCCCAGCCAGACGTAATTAGCTTGTTGAATCTCTTCTCCCCTCCGGCCTCGTGTTAATCACTTTTCACATCGATTCCCTCCGGCCGGGCTCTCGCTGCGTGTCGCTGATGTGAGGGGGGCGAGGGGACGCGGCTGGAAACGGGGCCGCGTCCTGCACCGGGGGTGGCTGAGGGGCAGGGAGGTCCCTCGGCCACCAGGAGGTGAGAAAATCGCAGGATAGAGATAAAATGGGAAATTCGGAGTATGGGAAGGTGTTGGGATGGGTTTGGTGGTGTGGGATGGGGCACGGTACCATCCCAGTAGGGTGAGTGGGGAGCTTGGGGGGGGGTCCCCACGCGGAGCTCGGCTTTGGGGTCTCTGCCACCACGCACTGCTTTTGGGGTGGGTCCATGCATGGGCTCTTCCTTCCCCTGGGTGCCCTGAAGGACCTCGGAGGGTGTTCGGGGAGGGAAGAGGGAGGGCCAAGGCGGCTCTCCCCTCCCCTCCCCTGCCCTGCCCTCTCCTGCTCACCAGGTCTGCTGCTGCCAGACCAGCTGGGGCTGCACGGCAGGGGGATGCCGGTTAATGGGGCACCCTGGGACCCTCAGGGGCTGCAAACGGTGGGCATCATCCTGCTGCTCTGCTCCAGCCTCAAGCTGCTCCACGCCTTGGGCATCATCGACCTGACCGGGGGAGGTGGGGCGAGAAATAGGGATGGGGGTGAAAATGGGGATGGGAGCGAAAAATGGGGACGGGGGCACAATGGGGATGGGGTTGCAATGGGATGTGGACGTTTTGGAGTTGCTCCTTGCCTCCTGCCCCAGGACAGCATGTGCGCAGGAGCTATGAGGTGCTCAGGGGAGGCTTAGTGTGTTTTGGGGCATTTGGGGGGGTATTAGGGTGTGGGAGGGAGCCTAGGGTGTCTGGGGGTTGTGGGGTGAGGTGTTTGGGAGTGTTGTGGTGCTTGGGTGTGGGGGGCATTGGGGTGTAGGGGTAACAGGGATGCTGGGGTGGGTATAGGGGTATTGGGATGTGGGGTTTTAGGATGCAGGATGCCAGGGAGGGGGGTATATGGGAGTGTGAAGCTGGGGATGGTATTGGGGTGCAGTGATGTGTGGGGACGGAGGCTACCAGGAGTTTTGGGGTTTGGGGGTGCTTTGTCAGATAGTGGGGGAAAAATGCTGCGAGTGGTGGGCTGGGAGAGGTGTGGGAGCTGGGACAGGGTGGGGGGGATGTGGGGCACAGCACCATGTGGGGAAAGCTCCCCCACTGCTGTAGGGTTGGTGCCTTTTGGGGGGGAGCGTGGCTCAAAGAGCCCCCAGCCCCTTTATCCTGCCTGAGGAGTGGGTGCTGAGGGCAGGGCTGGACGGGGCCAGCACGAGGACCCCAAAATATATCGGGGTGAGGGATGCAGGACCTGTTGCTTGTGCCTGGAGCGGGCGGGAGCGCGGAGAGCCGCTCGGTGCTCCGGCTTGTCTCATCTCCTCTGGCTGCCTTCCCGCTCCGAGCAGCTGGCTCCGAGCTCTGAGCCTGTCTCGGATGAAGACAGAAGCTGGCAGACTCTGCACGGCCGTGATTTGGGGTTCGGGAGTCTCCCCCTGCCCCATCCCAGCCGGCGCTGGGGATGCTGTGAGGGGAAGGGGCTGCGCATCGCCTCCCCTCCGTGCTGGTGGATTTTGGGGTGGGAGATGGGGCAAAGGGGAATAGGGGCGATGGGGCAGGATGGATGGGGCAGGACGTGTCCATGCACAGGGGTTTTGTAGGGCTCCGCTGTTCTTTGGCACCTGTATCCCAGCCTGGCTGTCCCATAAGCTCTGCCTCACTGCGCTGGGTGCCCACCCCCAGGCTGGGCACTGTTCCCCGGGCGATGCCAGCCCTGATTTCACTCCTAATGGATGGCCGTCTGCTGCCTCCTGGCCCCCGCGGCCACAGCAGGCACCTCGAGCCCTGCTCCGCTCCAATCTGTCAGGGCTGAGTGATGAGGGCCATTTGCGGGGCTGCTGCTGGCCTCATCCTGCACCCCCAGCGGCTGGGGCAGCTCCGTCTCCGCCTTGCGAGCGTGTGTTGGCTGTCGGGGGGGATGGAGAGGGAAGGGGAGGCTTTGTTTCGGCAGCATGTGGAGGTGGGGATGGGGAAACCTTTTCCCCGGGTGCTGCCCCAGGATGCAGGCTGGGTGTGTGAGCACGGTCTGAAGCTGGGGAGTGATGCATGGGAGGTGACAAGCCACTTAACCCGGCGGGCCTCCCGTGGCAGATAAAACACCATCAGCATTTTCTGTCTGCTGCTCTGTTTGCTGTGCCGTGCCAGCCGCTCGATAGCTCTCGGGGACGCTCAGGAAGGAGCCGTGTGCCAGGGCTGGCAGCGGCAGGGCGATGCTCCCCGTCCTCCGCCACAGCCAGGGTGCTGGGGACAGCGAGGGGACAGCGAGGGGACAGCGTGTCCTCCCCAGCAGAGCCCTCGGGGGCACCAAAGCCAGGACAGCAAAGCCCCAGCCCCGGTTGCCCCTCTCCTTGTTAAGCTGCATGTGCTGAACCCGCTCCCTCCCCTGCCCCGGGTCCCCCGGAATCGTGCCCTGTTCGGTTTCCTCCTTTAAGAAAATGCCCACATCATTATTTTTTTTCTTTTTTTTTTTTTTCCTTTATAACAAACTAAAGTGTAACTTGCACCCGACCTGACCTACTGCACGTGCCTATACCTGCTGCCCCTGTGAGTCCAACCACGGTTTAACTCTCTGTTGCATCTCTCGCTGTGTGGTTTCCCCCCACCCTCCTGCGTGTCCCTCTGTCTGTCCGTCCATCCCGTCCCATCCTGGGGCTGCTCCGAACCCCCAGGGCTGGTCCCACAGCTCGGTTCTGCTGGGGACAGGTCTGAGCCTGGAGCATCCCTGGCAGGCTGAAGGTGTGATGTCCCTCTGCGAGTTAACCCCCCCGAAAAGCAACTGGGGTAAAATCAGGCTTTGTGCACAACTGATGCCTGCTTAAAGGATGAAAAAAAAAACCCTTTCCTCACTTAGAGACGGGACCAGGCTACGTGGTCCTGCAGCACCAAGGTGCTGGCCCTCGCCACCAACTCTTAGAGCCATCTCCATCCCCTAAAACCCCTGGTGCCACCCGCCCAGCCGTGATTTCATAGGGACCTCGCACCTCCCGCCCCATCACCTGCCTGCCTTTGGGGGCTGGAGCCCAGCACGGCCTTCCTCTCCTCCTCCTCCTCCTCCCCTCCCTGCCTGCGCTGCTCATCCTGCGCCATTTGCTGGCTTCTGCGGGGCCCTGGGTGAAGCGGGGAGTGGGTGCGTGGCCGTGCGCCAACAGCGGGGTCAGGATGGGGGATAGAGGGTCACGGGGGGGGGATTGCAGAGCGAGGGGACCCCTGGAAAAGGCAGAAGCCCCGCTCCCCGTCCCCTCCTGGCTGTCCTCGCCCAGGGTCTGGGGCTTGGGGTGCACGTGGGGCTGCATGGCTGGGCTGGGCGCATGCTTTGTGTTTGGCCCTCCAGGGCCAGCGGGACCAAACCCAGCCCTGCACCCCGGGGAGGGTGCAGCACCCCGGGAGGGTGCCGGCTGGGGCTCAACACATCCCATCTCGGGCTCCATCCTGCACAGCCCTGTGCGGAAAGGTCCCCGGGGAGCAGCATTTGGCTTTGGGGCTGACGGGCAGAGCTTGGCCCTGGGCTTCTGGGCACCTCTGCTGCACCCTGGTGTGCTCCCATGGGTGTCCAGGGTGCTCAGCACTTGGCACCTCCAAGATGGGACCAGCAGGGCTGGGTTGGTCCTGGGATGGAGCAGAAAGGCTGAGCAGAGCCTGGGCTGGGCTTTGCCTCCCTGCTCCGCGTCCCCGCGTGCATGAGCTGCCTGCGGCCCCGCTCCGTTAACTCTTCTTCTGCTCGGTGACTCCTTCTTTCTTCCAGGCAACCCGCCGGGCCAAACTAAAAAAGCGCTGAAGCAGCGATTCCTCAAACTGCTGCCCTGCTGCCGGCCCAAATCCATCCCCTCGCTCAGCGAAAGCAAGTGGCTTCTTCTTGCCTTTGTGTGTGTGTGTTTCCCCAGCCGTGCTGCTGGCTGCCGCCCCCCCTGCCCCGTGGCTTTTTTTTTTGGGGGAGGGAAGGGGGGTCAGGATCACAATCCTGCCCCCGGAGGGGTCCAATCCAATGGGCTCTGCACCCACCTCGCTCCTTGCCTGCTCCCGGGCTGTTTTTACCCCCTTCCAGCGCCCTGGAGTGGCTCCCAAGGGATGCACGGTGGTTGGACCTGCTTTGGAGCTGTTTGGGGGTGGCAGGACCCCCCCCCCCGGCGCCGGTTGAAGGGCTGGGGGATTTGGCTGGAAGCTCGGTGATGGTACAGAGACGGAGGTGCGATGGGGAGGGAGGGGGCTGAGCAGGGACAGAGCCCCCCAAGCTGCTCTGGGGGCATTTGGCATTTCGGGAGAGCCTGACCGGGGGTCCCCCTGCCCCATGGTATGAGCTGAGCCCCCCCCGAAAGGAAAGAGGTGAGTATGGGGGGGCAAGGATGAAGGGATGGGGATGGGGAGAAGCTGTGGGTGGAGAAGGGGGCACAGAGGGCAGGATGGGGTCCCAACAAGGCTGTGGGGGGTGTTTGGGGTTGGGGGGCAGCCCTCTTGCAGATACAAATCCCAGTGCAGCACGGACATGTGGGCATGCAGGGTCTCAGCTCCGTGGGGCAGATGCACTGGGGGCGTTTTCTCACCCAGGCTGTCCCCGAGCAGCCCCTCCTGGTGTATATCTGGCCCTGGCCAAGCAGGGCACCCCAAAAAGCTGCCGCCCTGAGCGGTGCAAAGCACATCTGCCCGCGGCATGGCGCTGGCCTCAGTCGCCCTCTCTCCCACCGGCTTCCTTGCAGACAGTGTCGAGGATGAGTTTGAGCTCTCCACCGTCTGCCACCGCCCTGAGGGGCTGGAGCAGCTCCAGGAGCAGACCAAGTTCACCCGCAAAGAGCTGCAGGTCCTGTACCGAGGCTTCAAGAACGTGAGTAGCCTTCAGGGGTGCTCTGTGCCCTGGCCGGTGCCCAGGGCTTGCGAAGGGTTTTGGGGACCTCGGAGGTGAAAGCAGCATCCAGGAGGTCTTTGGGGGTAAGGGGGGGGGGGGGAAAACTGCAGGGCTTTAGGGGAAGGGAACCCCGAACCAGCCCCATGCTGATGGGGTGATGCTGTGATTTCCCCTGTCAGGAGTGCCCGAGTGGCATCGTTAACGAGGAGAACTTCAAGCAGATCTACTCGCAGTTCTTCCCGCAGGGAGGTAAGCGCAGCTCCCCATCCCCGTGCCCCATCCCCCGGGGCCGTGGTACCGGCACCCCCCCCCTTACTGTCCGCCTCCCCCAGACTCCAGCACGTACGCCACCTTCCTCTTCAACGCCTTCGACACCGACCACGACGGCTCCGTCAGCTTCGAGGTGAGCTGAGGAGGGGCTGGGGGATGGCTGGGGGGGGGGTTCATTCATTTGGGGCTGGGCTGCCTAAATGGGTGTGCAGCTTCACAGGTGCTGGGGGAGTTTAATTCCCTGAGGAAGTGGGAAAAATGGTGAAAAGCAATATAAAAAAATATTTTTTCTGCATGGGGTGAAAGATGCACAGCATCCCTAAGCCCCCCCATGGCTGTGACACCCCTCTGCCTCCCATCCTTGCAGGATTTTGTGTCCGGGCTCTCCATCATCCTGCGGGGCACCATCGATGACCGCCTGAACTGGGCCTTCAACCTCTACGACCTGAACAAAGACGGCTGCATCACCAAAGAGGTGGGTGCTGATATCCACTGAGCTCGGCTTTGCCAACAGGTCTGTGTATGGGGGCGGCTCCCCCGACCCCACAGCACCGGCGTGTCGCTGGGGTGGCAGGTGCCCACGTGCAGGAATGCACTCGAGCACCTCGCAGGTCTTTTGGGGACGTGAACAGGACCCCAAAGGGCTGGGGACTGGGTGTAGGCACAGCCCTGTGTCCACCCTGCAGCCCTGCTCCTTTCCCTGTAGGAAATGCTGGACATCATGAAGTCCATCTACGACATGATGGGCAAGTACACCTACCCGGCCATGCGGGAGGAGGCACCGCGGGAGCACGTGGAGAACTTCTTCCAGGTGAGCGGGGCTTTGTGGTGCCTGCCCCGAAGCTGGTACCCAGAGAACGCCCTGTGCTGGGGATGAAAAGGGGTCGAGCGAGCAGCAGGGCTGGAGCCAGGACAGGAATATGTCACCCTGGTCCTGCCTGGGGCTTGAGGGGGCTCGGGGTGGTTGTGGAGCTGTCCCTGCCATGTCCTTTGTGCTGTGCTTGGCTGCAGAAAATGGACCGGAATAAAGACGGGGTGGTGACGATCGAGGAGTTCCTGGAGTCCTGCCAGAAGGTAAAGCCACCGCCGGCTCTGCTCTGGGGCTGGGCCACCTCCCTGTCCCCTGGGGGACCCCTCCGTGCCCCCAGCTCTGGTCTGGGAACAGTAGCCAGGATGAGGACCAGGCATCCCAGCAGAGCTTGACTACTGCTTATAATCCCTGGAGCTCCCATCCTGTGGGTCAGTGCTGTCCCGCAGGAGCCATGGGGTAACACCAGGTTTGGGGACAGCTGCCCCGAGAGCCGCTCTGTGCCCCAATCCCCCCCCTTCCTCCCCACAGGACGAGAACATCATGCGGTCCATGCAGCTCTTCGACAACGTGATCTAGCTCCCGGACCTGCCTCCAGCCGAGCTCTCCTGCCACCGGGCCCAGAACCTGCTTCTCTCTCGACTTCTCCTTCGAGCCTCCCCGCTGCCACCCGGAGATGTGGTCGGCACCGGGACGTTCCCTCCCCCTGGGCCATCCCCGCTTTCCTCGGGGGGCCCCACGCAGGTGCCCCCAGGCACTGGAGTGTGGGCATGACTGGCACAGGGCATGCATCTGGCCTGGGCGAGCATCCTTGCACCCGATCCCAGAGGGAATGCTGTTTTAGGGGCTCCCCCGTGCACAGCATCCCGGGTAGCCACGGCCCCCACACCGCAACCCTCCCCGGGAGCCCCAGCACTGGCTCCAGCCCAAACCCCAAAGCACCACTGTCTAGGAACTAATAAAGAGTCTTGCAGCGGGCATCAGTGCCTCAGCTTTCCCCTTTCCCCCCCCCCCAGCCGTGTCCTGTACGTGAGACAGGAGCCACCCTGCTCTCCTGTCCCTCTCCTTGCCCACCCAGGGGTAATCACAGCATGAGCTGTGGGCAGCAAACCCTGCTCCTGGGGGACCTGGTTAGGGTTTTGGTGGGGGGAGAAGGGGGCTGGGGATGGAGCAGGGTGCTGGGACTCCCTGTGTTGTCACCGACAGCTCCTGGGAGCTGGGTGCGTGTAGGTGAGCCTGTCCTGCTCGTGTACACCTCTAAATCCTATCCGGGATGGGGATGCTACAGGCTAATGACCCCACACCAACCCCTCTGTGCAACCCCATGGGTTTTGGGGACGTGCCCAAGCTCTGCCGCTCCAGCCCCGTGTCCCGAGCAGCTGATGGGCAGCTGGGATGGATGGGGACGGGGCCAGCAAGGCCAGCATCTGGCCGGGCCCCACACCCAGGCCGAGCCCCTGGTGTCAGGGCTCAAAGCGCCCTACGGGGCCCTGATCTATGGGGCTGACCCCCACCGGGCCCGCTCCTGGCCCAGCCCTCGCAGACGTTGCTGTGGTTTTTTAGGTTCATTCGCCACGTTGTTCATCTCACCGCCCTGCTCCCGGCTGGGAGGGAGGGCAGGTACCCCGACCCCGACCCCAACCCCTCCTGTCCCCCCCCTCATGGAGCAGATGCCTCCTCCCTCACGCTGCAGTCGCATGGCGTGACCCCCCCCCCCTCAGCCCCAGGGCATGGTGACCCACGACCCGCTTGGCATCTCCAGTCTGTATATTTTGTATTATAATAATATTATGGGTTAAAAAAAAAAAAAAAAAAAGGACAATAAAATCTAACCACGCTATGCACACCGCTGGTATGTCTTTGCTATATGGGGGGGGGGGGAATGGGGTTCCTTATGGAAGCACTAATAGGGTGAAGGGAGGCTGCATGGGGCAGGGTTTTTGGGAAAGTGAAGCCTTGAGAAGTGGGGAAAAATGGTCTGAAGTAAAACAAAGAGGAAAAAAGCAGTGTTAAGAAAGGGATGTAGGAGCTGGTGTGGGGTGGTGACACCCCCCAGCACCCTGCCTCCTGTGCTTCAGGAGGTGATGGCCAAACACAGAAAGCTAAAGAGACAAATGTCCTAAAAGGCTGGGCTCTGGATATGGGGGAAATGGCCTGTGTGGGGCTGTGAGAGCCGTGAGCTTCTTTGCAAAGCCTCTGGCTCCCCGTCGGCCATTTGGAGCTGCTGGCAATGAGCTGGGTCCACACATAGCGATGGCAATTTCTGAGGGCATTTCCTCCAGCCTGCCCAGTCTAACCGAAGAACTGGGATTTGCTGGTGGGGGGCGATGCCATCCGTGTGCTCGCCGTGCCCTCTTGCGGCAGGGGGCTGCCAAAAAGCCACCATCGGGGTCCCTCTGCTCCTGCTCCCCAAGGACTGGGATGGGACAGGGGACTGGGGCAAGGCTGAGGTGGTGGTAGTTAAGGGAGGGCTACCAGCGGGGCGAGGCGCGGTGAGGTGACGCTCCCGCGGTCTCCTAATACGATTTATTTGGCAGGTAAGCACAGATTACAATTTATATTTTTGCTGCTTTAAAGCTTGGCATTGTTTTTCTCCTCCGCCCACCGCCTCCTCGGAGGTCACCCATCCAGCCGCCAGCCCCGCCGGACCCTGCTTAGCTTGCGGGGCGCGCGAACTAGGTCAGGACTCGCGGGAGCCCCGCCCAGCAGCGGCGCCGCTCCGGCACCGCGCATGCGCCCACACGGCTCCCGCGCTGCGCATGCGCGGCTCCGGGGTAAACACTTCCCGCCCCACCCACCCCGCCTCCCCCCTCCGCGCCGCTTCCCTACACAAAGCCGACTGCGCATGCGCGCTCCCCCTCCCCGCACCTGCGTGCTGCCCCGCCACCTCCCCCCCTCCCGAGGGGGGGCACTCCGCGCATGCGCACCGCGCCCCTCACTCCCCCTCGCGCGTGCGCCGCGAGCTCCCCCCACCTCCCCCCTCCCCTCTCCGTCCTTCTGAGCATGCGCAGTGCGCGCCGCGCACCTCTCCGCGCATGCGCAGTGCGCTCCCCCCCCTCAGTCCGTGAGGTAACTCCCGCCGCGCCGCCCGCCCGCCCTCAGTCTCTCGGCGCCGCTCGGGCCGCACGGGGCCGGCAGCGCGGCGGGGGCCGTTAGGCCGCGGCGGGACGCTCCGTGCCGGTGGGGGGGCCTCTTCGTGGAGCGGAGCGCTCGGGGCCGGCTCCCCGCGCAGGCGCAGGGCCCCGTAAACAGGAAGCGGCGGCCTCCGGGGCGGCGGCGGAGACAAAGGGGCCCGGCCAGGCCCGGCCCGGAGAGCGGGGGTGCTGGCGGCGGGCGGCAGGATGGTGCAGAAGGACGGGCAGGCGGCGCTCGAGGAGCCCCAGGGCAGCCCCAACCCGGCCGCGGTGCCCGGAGCTCCCTTAGAGCCGCCGGGAGCCGCCGCCGCTGCTGCTGCTGCTGTGGGGCCGGTACAGGGGGGCGAGGAGACCGACACCGAGACGGAGACGGCGCTGGGCTCCCGCCGCTTCCTCTGCGGCGTTGTGGAAGGTGAGGGACGGAGGGGCTGCTCCCCTCCCCCTCTCCTCCTCCTCCTCCTCCTTCCCCCGCCGCCTCCGCCCCGTGGTGCGCGGGTTTTGGCCGCTAGAGAGGGCTTTGGGGCGGGGAGGAGCCGCGGCTGCCGGGCGGGGCGGCTGCTGCTGCTGCTGCTGGCCCTGGGGCGGCTGGGGCTGGGAGCCGCTCGCTGGCAGGGAGCACCCTCGGAGGGGCGAGGGCAGGCCTGGCTGGGGTATGGGGCACGGCTGCTGCTCGCTTGGTGTGTTAAAGAGGGAAGAAGGAGGGAGAGAGGAGCTGCCGTGGGGTTATCGCAGCTCTGCATGCTCTTCCTGCACGCCAGAGGCTCGCATTTGGTTTCCTGCATGGGGAATAGGTGATCACAGAGACATCTGCTCTGGAATTAATATTAAGCGCTCCCTGTTCTCCGCAGTAATGCAGCGTAACGCTTTAATTGTGCTGCACAACGGTGCTTGTTCTGTGTGCTGGCGTAGGGGCGTTATTAAGAGGTTTAAATTGTTCTAGAAGCTTCGCAATAAAGGGACTTATTCTGTTTCTCAGTAATTACAGAATATACGTGCGTTTCTGGCAGGTTGGTTAAGGTAGATATTTGAAAGCCAGCAAGAAAAATGGTTTGCTCCCTACGTAAATGTTGGCTTGGAATAGCTCTGAATTCCTGCCGACTGCTATTATTTTTGTACCTATAATGAATCTCCAGCGGGAGACCAAAATGATTAACAGATGGAATAGAGTGTGAAGCAGGCAGTTTATCAAAGTCAGTATCTGCACTGCTTGCAGAATGCCTTTTGTTCATATCTTAAAAAGAGAAGGCCATTTGGCTCTAGCAAATGTCCTCGTGCAGAGCGCGCTAGGCCCAGTTAACGCCTTTAGTTTTTAGTGTTGTTAGAGCTTAAATACAGTCAGCATGGAGAGAAATTCCTCAGCCTAGATATTAAACTTCTTTCCTTAAAGAAAGATGCTTTGGAGATGGGCAACAAAAAACAAGGATATAGATTGTGGCAGGGTGGTTTCTCACATTCCTGCCCGTATACCTTGACCGTGGTATCACACATTCATCCAGGAATGTGTCAAAGCAGCTGTGTATATCATAACCATCCTTTTGTTGTCTTAATTACCTTGTAGACCTCCTTTGCATGTGTTTTGGTGCAGCTGCTGTAAACAGAGGTGTTCTTGGCTACGCTGTAAAACGAAGCGAGAAAATGGCCCCTGCCCACTGAAGCAGTCTAGTGCTAGCCAGGAGCTTTCTGTTTAACCTTAAAAATGTGTACAGGAAAAAAGGATTAAGGGATTTTAAAAACAAAAGAAGCAGTTGCGGTGAATGAGGTAAACAGTAGTGGGTGAAAAATAATGGTCTCTTTAGTGACGCAGGAAAATTACAGGGTTCAGAGAAAAGAGGGATTAACTTCAGGAGTGAGGATACACACTTGGACACGGTGCAGCAGTTACACCATATCTCTTGTCTGTGTTAATTAAAGCAGTGAGCTGGAGAGCCTGCATGTTTTTCTTGCAAGGGATGTGGGGGGCAGGAAATAAGGGAGATATCACTCAAGGATACTGGGCGTGCAGTCCAAGAGTGGGAAGAACTTGTAATGTGTCCAGTGCACCGTTCTGGGAGTAATAGGATTTAAGAGAGTCCTGGATGCAAAGCCATGGTGCTCAGCCTCCAAGAGATCCTAGCTTTTAATAATGGAGAGTGTGGCACCTGGGATCAAGTGTTTGATGTGATCTGTTGCCTTTGTATGACCCTGCCATGCAGTCTTGAGGGATCAATACAAAAGAGGTCGATTTTAGGTAGAAGCATCCCAGGATTGTCATCAGCTGGTGACGTCAGTAATGTAAGAGATGTGGTGACAGATGGAAGAACTGTATCAGTTCTGATTAACGTGTTCTCAGCCTTCTATTGAACCAGGTTTTGGTGTGTTCTTTGTGTCTCGTTTTGTTTTATAGGAGGCTTCTGCTCTACTTCAATTTACTAGGTGTGAAACAATAGCATCGTAAGGAAGACAAATTGTTGTGCAGTTATGAGATGTGGGTGGTGCTGACTAGATATCACAGTAATGCTTTCCGTTTGTGGATTGTTGAGCTTCCTCGGGGCAGCATTAGTAAGGATTAGATAACAAGTGAAAACAAGAAATTTGTTCTGGGTGAAATGATTTTGGAGTCTCTTATGCATTGCAACTGCTCTCTTGTTTGTTGCTCTGTTTAATTGCCCTTGACTTGTCACCTAGCAGTGTCAGTGAGAAGCACTAGTTAGCTTTGCCACTTTGTCGTGCCAATTAGCCTAAGTTCACTTTCTGGGAGGCTATTTTTTAAAACTTGAGCCTGTTTTAAGCTTCTTAAAGTGAGCGTTGGTCACTTAGGTAAATGAAATACTTAAGACATAGAAAATGCTTCAGTTGCATTCAGGCCGTAGGAGGGCATTTTTGGCCTTATTAAGAGCAGATATATATTTACAGTGTTGAATAGCTCTGAAAATGGAAGATATCTACTTTTTGAACTGATGTTCTGTGGGAACTAGTGAGCTCTGTGTATTAAGAACATCATTCATTGTTCGTGTTTGGAAATAAGAGCTTATTAAATTTCAGTGTTATTTTAATCTTGGGTCTTTGCACAGGCTGCCAAGCCGAAGCTTTGTTTTGAAGTGCCCACTTGTGATGGGACTGTTTGCACAGAGGTCTAAGTGAATTTACTTGAATAAAAATAGATTGAGAGTGCTTTTTAAAGTGTTATGTTTCTAGAATGGAAGGAATTTAAACCAGAATCCATTAAAATATTTGTAGAAATACATGACTGTGAAGATAGAATATTCTAAAATTACTTGTGTAGGTGTTTTTATATGATTATTCAAAGACATTGTTAGCTTGTGAAGATGTGGGCATTTGGGAAGTAAAAATATCAACATCAGAGTTAATTCTGACAAGAAACCTGTTAATCTGAATAAAAAGAATGAAAACCTAAGCATTTTATTGGCTCTTGCACATTTTAAATTACTTGTTACTTATTAATTTAAATTACTCAGTACACATCTGTATACTATGTGTTTGTATTTAGAATCCTAATCTGTATCAACAGCTGAGTGTTTTTGAGCTGGTAAATATTTCCAGTATTTGTTATAATCAAATCTACCTTATAGGTGTCTGGAGTGATAGCTTAATTAGGTTCTGACTGCTCGGTCCGCCCCTGAAATAATGCTGACTTGACTTGTGAAGGGCATCTGCTGAGGAATACAGCTTGGATTCTGAAAAT